CTATTTATCTCAATACCGGAGCTAATCCAAAATAGCATCCCTATGTTCATTTCAACAGCTTGACCCATTGTACTGTATTTGTGTCAAGGTGCTACTCAAATGAGTTACCAGTTATCAAGTGTCGATGCAAAGCAGTTCCTGGATGGTTGTGTTCTGCTGTCCATTGATTTTGACCAGTGATTAAGTGACTTCAGTTACAAGATAAAGTTAATCCTGCAGCCTGGCAGTAATTCAAAGCAGACTAGCACCAAGCAAAACATAGTGTGGTGTTAACAGTGGGTACTCCGCCTGGTAGGAGCTCGGGGCACCTTCACTTTTCCCCCTAAAGCCTGTCAGAGACACCCCTGCCATACAATATGATGTGTCTACATGCAACAGTGGCACCTTGAATTATTCATTACCACAATACTTTCCCCCTAGGAACCACTCCCTCAAAAAGACCATTAGCCAACTATTATCCAAGCATTATTTTGAATTATCTGAAAAGTAGACTGGACGTGAGTGTTGACCGCAGGGTTTATTTGAACTTCCTGTCAGGATCTGAAGGGGAAGATCCTGCTGAAGGCGAAGAAAATCGGTGGTCTGGAGGAGAGTTTCAACGAGTTGGCGGAAGACTCTCAGACTGGAGAGCTCAGTGATGAAGACGAGGTGGCTGACATTGAAGAAGAGAACCAGCACAGAGAGAGTGTCCGTCGCACGGTTAAGGTATGTCAAAAATATTGGGGGTTTATGAGCTTCATACAATTTAGCCTATCGGGACAAAAGCCTAGCCATTCGTTTTTAGAAATCTGGTCGCCCAGCGAAAAGGATTGCATAAACTCCTGTCGTCCCTCATGAAAAATAGAGGAGGTTAAGGTCAGGGAGCAGACATTGGGTGTTAGATAAGCTGATCTGTTTACACTGTGATGGCAGAGGAAGACAGAGGCAGGCAAGACAGGAAAGAAAGAGCTTCAACACTGTCAACCACTCGTGACACTGGTGTCTTTTACCCAAGCCATGTACATCTGAACTTAATCAAAATCACTTAAACCAAATGATATAAACATCTGTCGAGACATATATCCGTTCAGTTTCATGTGGAGTAGTTTGACAGTATAGGTGTAAAGGGGGTCAATGAGAAAAAGGACAGGAGTGCCATGCCAGTCTGTCCCTAACTAGGTGAAGGTTGTACAGTCTCCTCTAACACGGGATATTTGATACTCTGAATGGCATTTATCACAGTCAGTAATCACCTGTGTTGGTAAATGCTGAGGTATAGAGTCTCTAAGTAGGGATAGAATGTAAATCCAACTTTAATTGGGAGATTTAAATTAAAGAGTTCCTAAAATACTTTTAATCAATTACATTTTAGTCAACTTGGGCCAATCGTATGTCAGATATATGGGACCAATTCATGTCAAGTCATATATCCCGTTACAAGTGTCACTTCCTGTTGCTATTGACTCAGGATGGCATCTGATTGGCATCCATAGTGGTCATTTAGTGTTTGCTCCATTGGCATGTCACATTTAAGCAATCTGGATGAGGTCCGTGCTATAGGACAGGTCTTTGTCCCTAAGTGTAAGTGTGTAAGGCTTTACAGGATAATGTTAAATGCCTATATATCATTAGCAAACTAATTGGCCAAAGGAATCATGGGGCACTTAAAGTCATGTTTATTTATTAGCATCTGAGAAGCATGAAACGCCACACTGGGACTCCTGTCAGCACTGTCACCAGAGGTGAGGCCCGGGGCGACTTTGGCCCCTGTTGCTGGTGTAGGTGTCTGCAGGGTGGCTGTCTGGTGGACGGGTGAAGGTGGAGCGGTGACACTGTGAAGTCTGGGCTAAACCTGCAGGATCAGTTTTCATGTGGAAGCAGGCAGGCTTGCAGGCAGGGGTGCTCTCACTGTCATGGTGCAGTTTGGGTCCACTGCCCCTCTGATCAGTCATGGAAGCTCCCCTGGCAGCACACCTGCTTTAGCTCTGGCATCGTGGGCGAGTATCACTTGCACAATTCAACAGGGGGTTGTCACAAGGTTCTGATGAGCTTCCATCCATGACAGGGTGCATCTCAAGGGTTGACCCTATTACATGGTTGTGAGTAAATTGACCTCGATGTGACTCTAATATGTAAATGACGAGGATGCCTTTTGGATCATTGGGTTCAGGGTTCATCCTAGGCAGCAGAACTGCAGAAGCTTCTTGGAGCTTTCATTATTCCTTTATTTTCTCTCTTCTTATCTTTACAGAAGTCAAAGCAGCGTCTCTCCAATGAGCTGTCAGACTGTGTGGTTTACTGCAAAAGTGTCCACTTCAGTAACTTCAAACACTCCCGCATCCACTCCAAGTTCTACGAGGTGGCCTCCTTCACTGAGTCCAAGGCCCGGAAACACTTGAGAGAGGCTGGTGAGTCAGGCATATTTCCGCTTTACACCTTGGAATGTAGGCCTATGATGTATACTGTATTTAGAAATAGATTTTTGATGTTTGTAATCTTCTGATATCTCCATTTTAGGGGCCGATTTTGTGCACCATAACTCACGGCAGCTGACCAGGGTTTATCCCAGTGGCTTCAGAACTGACTCCTCCAATTTCAACCCTCAGGAAATGTGGAATGTTGGGTGCCAAATTGGTGAATACAACTGAAAAATGGTTGACCCATAAAGCCCCCTTTCTTAACTTAAATGGGGAAACCAGAAAAGTGCATTTTTTTCCTTTTCATACAGTTGCGTTGAACTTCCAGACTGCCGGGGAGGGGATGGATTTGAATGACGGACTGTTTCGTCAGAATAACAGCTGCGGCTACGTCCTAAAGCCCAGATTCATGAGAGAGGCAGAGAAATTTGACCCTGAGACACCTCACGAACGGGAAGGCTACCAGCCTGTCGTCCTAACCATACAGGTACACAACATCGGGAAATAAATAAAGGTGTTTCCCTGCAGTTTTCCAATCGTTGCTTTATATAAGTCATTGTATGGATGTGTTTAAGGTGATCAGTGGTCAGCAGCTGCCCAAAGTCAATATAAAGGAGGGTTCCATCGTGGATCCTCTGGTCAGAGTGGAGATCCACGGTGTTCCCATGGACCAGGCCAAGCAGGAGACCAGATACATCGATAACAACGGTACAGGAGAGGAATGAATGGATGAATGGAGAGGATGTATAACTTTAAAATGCTGTGGATGCTGACATGGAAGGGATTTCTCCTTTTCTGCAGGGTTTAATCCTGTGTGGTATGACACTCTGTGCTTCACCATCCACACTCCTGAGCTGGCCATGGTGCGCTTTGTAGTGGAAGACTATGACAAGACATCCAGAAATGACTTTGTGGGCCAGTATACACTCCCTCTGATCTGCATGCAGCAAGGTAAGGATGCTTCTACAGCTTCTAGCAGACTTACTTGTACTAACAATACATTCGAATAACAATATATCAAGAAAGCTTATTCTCTTTATCTTCTGGCTTTTCTTTGTGTTCCCAGGTTATCGTCACATTCACCTTTTGTCCAGAGATGGAACCAGTATTCCCCCCTCCTCCTTATTCGTACACGTCAGGGTCACAGAACTGGAGTAAACCTTCTACTCTTTCATAGAGCAAGGGTAATAAAATAACATATTATTTAGTTATTAGAGTCATTCCTTCCCGTATAACACACCCATAGCTCTTCAAACAGTATTTCATATTATTATAGTTATTATTTGATGTGAATAAATACTACGCCGCCAAATATTTAGTGGTTCTTCTGCAGCAGATGTATATATGTTTTTCTGCTTCATTCACTATAGTTTGTGTCACTTTTTCCTGTGATTCACTTGGAATTTGCTAATCATGCTCGATGTCTGTAGCACAAAGATTTGATGTGTTATAGAGAAGAAAGTGCCACCAATATGTTAAGATCAGGATTTATATTTCCTCTCAGTATTTTCTCTTACGAACAGCACTTCTGTGTGACCTCACAGTCTCATGCAAAGCTTGAAATGCAATTGTCTTCCAAACAAATTGTCTTCTTGTTAGAGAAAAACAAGACATTTTAATTCTTATTCTGTTAAAAAAATCGAGGTCCAAATGGTCAAATCTATAGATTTCGACACGTTCTATTAGGAAACAAGTAAGCAAAGATTGAACAAAACCACCTTCTCCAACTATAGGAGGGACAAAGAATATCTTGTAGGCTGATACTAAAATATATATATTAAATAGATGTCTCTGAAAAAGCACGTACAAATATTTTGAGCAAACATCAAGTAACCTCTTTGGATTATTAGGTATTTAAATATGCAATATAGCGGGCATTATTTGAAAAATCTAGTATAGTACCTTAAATGTACCCTCATGTATCTCTTATAAACATCATTATACATCTCGAGCTACAGTGACAGGCTGAATCTGAATGTACTTAGTCTTGTGTAATCTGATGTTATCTTTGTAGTATGTATATATATGTATCTATACTTCCCATTTGTGTAAATGTGTTTTTGATATGTCTATTTTTGTATACATGGAAACATTCATATGCTCTGTACAGAATAGCACATGGAAGTGTTTATTTGCTTGTTTTGTTTTTATTATAAAAGACGTCATTTTTGTCACTGCCTGCAAATAAATATGATTTTCATTTAATAATGTAAACATTTTATTCTTTATATATTAAAGTTACTGCCAGTAGGACAGCAAAACCATATAGCAATTAAAAGCATGCGGAACTTTCGCTCTGCATCGTTTTCCATCGACTGACTAAACCGGAACACCAGTTACGTTTGTCATGTCAACAATGAAGTTACCGCGAGAATAAACACGCATTTCCGGATTTGACTTTCAGAATAAAACTTATTCAGACAATAATGCCGTATGTACAGGTGTTTTAAATACAAAACCCAATAACAACACTAAATTGGTAGAATATTTTAAAAGTAAATTGCAAAGTACTTTTCTCACAAATGTAATATTACTCAGAATAACATGTGCGTTTTTAATATGATTTTAAATAAATGTACTTCCGGTAGTAGTGTCGCTAACTTGACGACGTCACACGCTGTCGACACGGGGAGCTGCATCACAGTGTATTGTGTGTACAGCTGAGATTAATGTAAAATTCTCCAGGTTTACATATATATTAAAATGGTGGGGAAAATCAAACATGTCCGGCAGAAGCTCCACCAGGAGGCCGTGAAGCTGCACCCACAGTCCGTGTTATCACCGCCGAGTCTGGCGGTAGAGAGACCCGCTGCTGCTGCTGCGGAGCCACACAAAACAAGTACTACACTGCTGGGGAATAACAAGAACAACGCCAGACAGGTCTGTTGTGAGAACTACTCGACAAATACGTAAAATAATAGATGTTGTCAACATGTTTTAGCCCAGCAAATAGTAAAACCGTGAGAAAAACACGTCTTTGTTATGAATGGATTTCTTGGTTCCATTATCGGACAATTATGTTAATAGGTTAGCTTTATTTTTAAATGCTCTTCATTTTAAAGCAATTAAGGTAAATCAAATGTAATTCAAAAACAAACAAAATATGTAATGAAAACAACAGACCCCTATGTAAGGATTTGAATCAGGACTATGATGCTGAGATGAAGCATTCAGTGACTCAGAATCATAATTCCTTAATTCGTCCCACAGAGGGGACAACTACATTGTTACAACTAAAGATAAAGGCATGCACATACAAACAAACAAAATAGCTCAGATTGTCTTACAGAATCCTGTTAAAGTATTCAAATTGTCTAAGTAAGGAGGCAGCCAGTAATAATCATAATAATAATTATACTCATTGTTATGACCCGGCTCAAAAGGCCACAACAAAGAGGAGACACACCATGTCGATGGTTAACTAAAGATGTTTATTTAGGACAAATCAAAACCAGTAAAGTATGAGGTGTGGATGTCAGTGGTATCAGTAATGTCAGTGCAGGGTGAGGATTGTATGGACATGTATGTGTGTGAGAGTGTTGAAGTGCACAAAGTAAAGCAACTGAAGAAACTCCTAATATACTCGACAAAACCGGTGTGCCTGCAGGGAGAAGCAGAGAGAGCACAGAGAGGAGCAGAGAGGCGTTAAATAGCTGCAGGGCACCAGACCCAGGCGCCCTGAGTTACTGCAATCAATGCAATCACCACAGCACAGACAGGACAGCCACCTCCTCTCTACTGATGAACCCACAGGGGCATCACAGCCCCCCCCTTAAGACGGGGCCCCAAAGGGATCCACGACAACCCAATATCCTCCTTCTTAACTCCAGCTTTTTTACTTTCCTTCTTAGGACTGGAGGACGCTCCTCCTCCGCCGCTGTCTTTGAACTCTTGCCTTGCAATTTCGTACTGCTTCTTCGCCTCCACTGCCTTTTATGTCCCACTCCTCCTTGGGTTGGCTGGCGTTGAGCCACAGCATGTAGGCGCTCATCGGCCTCTTGGGCGCTTCGGCCTCCTCTTCTTCGGCCTCCTCTTCTTCGGCCTCCTCTTCTTCGCTTTGCAGGGTTTCCTCTCTTTCTTCTCCTTCACCACTTTGACTGTCTTCTCCTTCTTCTTTGTCTCGATCTCAAAGTCAAAGGACCGTGCTGGACCACTTTTTCCAGACTCCGAAACAGGTAGGTCAGTAGACATCCTACGGCTCTGCGCACGCGTAACAGTATAAACTGGAGACACACTTGGAAATGGCAAACCGCTCTCATCTGGCTCTACAGATGCCAACGGCCCCGAAACCACCACAGGCGGTGGCACACCCGCCCACACAGCACTACCAGCTAGATCGTTGCCCAAAATCATCTGTACCCCATCAAGTGGCAACGCGGGATGCACGCCGATAGACACAACTCTCCGTACCAGCTCACAATCCAGCACTACTGTATGACGTCGCACAGGAATCAAGCCCATCTCCATGCCCCTCATCAGTACAAAACCCCAGTCTCTGACGAAAAAGTCAACACTGACTCAACAATAAATGAGTATCTAGCTGCTGTGTCACGCAACACCTTAATCGGAACATACTTGTCACTACCGACCATTGATACAACGGCTTCCGTTATGAACGGCTCAAAAACAGAACCCACATCCAAGTCGTCACAAACCAGCTTCTTAACAGGCACCATGCCCGATCTTACACCCTGCGGCTTTTTAACCAAAACGGCAGAACAACACATGGCTGGAGCATGTGATGAAGAACGAGGCTTCCCCTCAGGTTCCAGCAACGGACACTGCTCCTTCCAATGACCCTCTTCTCGGCAATAATGACATTAGCCCACTCTGGTGCCCTCGGATCGCCCCGGACCTGCAAATCCATTATGGGAGGAGTCTGGTGAGAACTTTGCACCACCGCGGGAATAGCCACCATCTTCTCCACGTCTCCAATCACCCCTAGACCACTTTTTCTCTGTAAAACTGCCCTTATGTGTCAACACAAAATCATCCGCTAATTCAGCAGCTCTAAGCGCGGTGGAAGGTTTCTGCTCATTTACATAAGTGGCCACACGCTGAGGGATAACATCTTTAAATTGTTCTAATACAATGAGTTCACAAAGACCGTCAAAACTGGCAACCTTTGCTGCCGCGCACCACCGCTGAAAATGAGAAGTCAAATCACGGATAAACTCCACATGTGTCTGCTTATCCCCCTTGACCCAACTTCTGACGATACGCTTCAGGAACCAGTTCGTATGATTTTAACACTGCTGATTTTACTCTGGCATAGTCCAAAGCATGTTCACCACAAACAGCTGAATAGGTCTCCTGTGCTCGCCCAGTGAGTACACACTGAAGTAACAGCACTCTGTCCGAATCTGACCAGTTTCTTGCCTCTGCTATGCGTTCAAATAGAGTAAAAAAAATGTCAGGGTCACGCTCATTAAACTTTGGCACTAACCGCAAGTAAGAAATAATATCGCCACTACCCGATGCCGACCTATCAGAACCATCCTCCACCAGAGAAAGCTTGCCCTCTCCAATCAGCCGTAATCTAGCATATTCCACCTCACATTTAATCTTTTCCACCTCCAGCACCTTCTCCACCTCTAAACGCTTCTCTACCTCCTGCTGCTGACCCCTCAACTCCAACTGCAACTTCTCCTGCTCCAACCTCAACTTTTCCTGCTCCAACCTCAACTTCTCCTACTCCAAGCTCAACCTCTCCTGCTCCAAGCTCAACTTCTCCTGCTCCAACCTCAACCTCTCCTGCTCCAAGCTCAACTTCTCCTGATCCAAGCTCAACCTCTCCTGCTCCAACCTCAACTTCTCCTGATCCAACCTCAACCTCTCCTGCCCCAACCTCAACCTCTCCTGCTCCAACCTCAACCTCTCCTGCTCCAACCTCAACTTCTCCTGATCCAACCTCAACTTCTCCTGCTCCAACCTCAACTTCTCCTGCTCCAACCTCAACTTCTCCTGCTCCAACCTCAACTTCTCCTGATCCAACCTCAACTTCTCCTGATCCAACCTCAACTTCTCCTGCTCCAACCTCTCCTGATCCAACCTCAACTTCTCCTGCTCCAAGCTCAACCTCTCCTGATCCAACCTCAACTTCTCCTGCTCCAACCTCAACTTCTCCTGCTCCAACCTCAACCTCTCCTGCTCCAACCTCAACTTCTCCTGATCCAACCTCAACCTCTCCTGCTCCAACCTCAACTTCTCCTGCTCCAACCTCAACTTCTCCTGCTCCAACCTCAACTTCTCCTGATCCAACCTCAACTTCTCCTGATCCAACCTCAACTTCTCCTGCTCCAACCTCTCCTGATCCAACCTCAACTTCTCCTGCTCCAAGCTCAACCTCTCCTGATCCAACCTCAACTTCTCCTGCTCCAACCTCAACCTCTCCTGCTCCAACCTCAACTTCTCCTGTAGTGCTGGGGGGGAAACGATTATTTTGAAAACGATTAATCGGGCGATTATTTGAACGATTAGTCGACTAATCTAACGATTATTTTTCTGTTGTTCAATTCATAAAAAACGTAATGTAAAAAAAACGTAATGTAAAAAAAAAATTTGTCACGATACTGTGTCTCAGGGAATCTTAATATTTAAGAACCTATTAATGTATATACCAGATTAACGGAAATAATCTCAGCTAATTGACGATACAAACCATGTTTACCAAAACAAAACACAAGTCTCATAAGAAGCATCTAAATGACCCCTGAGCGAAAAATGCTAACGGACATTGGCACAGAACTCAAGATAACAGTACCCTTATTACTTATCGTAGCTGCACATACAATATATCCGATTAAAGCTGAGACTCCACAGATTATGTAGGTATATAGTATCATCACTGAGTGATCCGGACTCGCGACAGGGGAAGCAAATACAGTCATCACAACACGTACCTTCACAGAGCTTCTAGGGAGATCGTCTCACCACCGTAGCTGTCAATCTGATCAAAAGACGTGTTCAATGGCATTAAAATGAAAAAACGCGGCTGAATCGGTTAATCCATAGGTTTTTAACGTCTATGTATAAAAAAATGATTGAATTTATAATCCATAATTCCATTTTTATGAAAAATCGGAGAGCAAATGCTAGCTGCTAATGGTAGCCACCACAGCTAGCTGCTGCTTCTGCTAGGCTATGCAGCAGTCTCAGTGAGATATAAATATCTTTGCGTTTTGGACTAACTTTAAAATATTCCCATGCTTTTGAAGACCTAGGGCGAGATGTTTTCGTTTGGGGGCTTCGTGCGCAATCCTGTGAGGAGGAGGTGGTAGCCGTTTCAGTCTCCATTGTGTTTGAAGTGCGATTGCGAACTGCTTGTTGCTTTGGGTGACCCACGTGTGTGTAGCGACGCGTCGACGCGGAAATATGTTGTCGACGATATTTTGAAGTCGACGCGTCGCTACAGCACTATTCTCCTGCTCCAACCTCTCCTGCTCCAACCTCAACTTCTCCTGCTCCAAGCTCAACTTCTCCTGCTCCAACCTCAACTTCTCCTGCTCCAAGCTCAACCTCTCCTGCTCCAAGCTCAACTTCTCCTGCTCCAAGCTCAACCTCTCCTGATCCAACCTCAACTTCTCCTGCTCCAACCTCAACTTATCCTGCTCCAACCTCTCCTGATCCAACCTAAACCTCTCCTGATCCAACATAAACCTCTCCTGCTCCAACCTCAACCTCTCCTGCTCCAACCTCAACTTCTCCTGATCCAACCTCAACTTCTCCTGCTCCAACCTCAACTTATCCTGCTCCAACCTCTCCTGATCCAACCTCAACTTCTCCTGCTCCAACCTCAACTTCTCCTGCTCCAACCTCTCCTGCTCCAACCTCAACCTCTCCTGCTCCAACCTCAACTTCTCCTGATCCAACCTCAACCTCTCCTGCTCCAACCTCAACCTCTCCTGCTCCAACCTCAACCTCTCCTGCTCCAACCTCAACCTCTCCTGCTCCAACCTCAACTTCTCCTGATTGAACTGCATGGCCAAAAGCTCCTTTTGCTGCTCGAAGTCAAACCAGCTGTCTGAACCACTACCGGCCCGACCCCTGCCGCACCAGACTCACTCTTCTGCAACACCCCCTGCTCAAACAAAGATGACACGATGACAGCTCATGTTTCCGCTTGCTCCCCACAACAGCAATTTCATAATGCTCTGCTATTTCGACCAACTGCGCCTTCTGGCAATCATCTAAGAAAGACACTGAGGGCGCATCCACAAACGCCGACAAAGAAGCCATAATATATTGCCTATACCCAATCAGAAAGCAAAGTATTAAACTGTCAACACGCCTGTGCAAAAGACAAAACCCAACAGAGAATGTTCCCCCTAACTGCCTAACCAAAATCTTACTAAACTCACCTAGTCTTCATGTGGCTTGCGGCGGGTAATTACGCACTGGAACCCGGCGGAGTTATGGAGCGACCTGCACGCAGACAGCTGTCCGAAAACAGCTGACACTAACCACGTGGCCACTACACTATGAACAAAACAAAAACAGACGCAACCCAAGGGGAAACGCCACTTAAGCCTAGCGGGGAAATCCCTTTACAAAAGCGTAACAAGCAGCAACATCTTACCTTCTGATTGGCACACAAAACCTGACACCATGTCAAACACTAAAGCTTCCTGAAACCCAAAAAACATGATGTGTCCCCCAGTAGTGGCGCCAAGCCAGCACACAGCTGGACCACATCAACTAATCAGCTGCTCAAATGACACCATGTGCTCTGAGCATTACACAAACTTTTAACCAAATAACCCGGACGAGCCCCCATTTGTTATGACCTGGCTCAAAAGGCCACAACAAAGAAGAGACACACCATGTCGATGGTTAACAAAAGATGTTTATTTAGGACAAACGAATCAAATCAAAACCAGTAAAGTATGAGGTGTGGATGTCAGTGGTATCAGTAATGTAAGTGCAGGGTGTGGATTGTATGGACATGTATGTGTGTGAGAGTGTTGAAGTTAGTGATGGCGAGATGAAGCCTTATGAAGCTTTGAAGCTTTCCAACCAATTGGTTCGCAAAAGGCTTCATCTCAAAAGGCTTCATCTCATGAGGCTTCATCGTGGGCTTCATTTGAACACCAACCCCCTGTTGGTCAAAGTGTGTAAAACAGGCAGATTGGACATCTCAACAGTGTGCTCTATCTCATACCGAGTTCCCGATGAGTAAAGCCTTAGAATAACTCTAAACAACGAACATAAAATCCTTTTTTCATGTTAACAATATTGTTTTTATTCCAGTTGAATGATTGTGATTGAAAAGCCTAAGGAGGCTGGTAAACATTGCAAAGAGGGATTCCTTAATAATATTCATAAACTTAACCATGTTGTCAATCAATCAATCAATCAATCAATCAATGTTTATTTATATAGCCCAATATCACAAATGTTACATTTGTCTCAGTGGACTTCACAGTTTGTACAGAATATCAGTATGACAATACGACACCCTCTGTCCTTAGACCCTCACATCGTACAAGGAAACACTTCCGGAGAAAACCCACAGTTTAAAGGGAAACATGGGAGAAACCTCAGGGAGAGCAACAGAGGAGGGATCCCTCTCCCAGGACGGACAGACGTGCAATAGATGCCGTGTGTAAATTGAAAAGATAATACATTTGCAACATAGGTAGTCCAAATGTTTGGAAATGCATGTGTGTATAATAGGAAGATGAATCCACGAGGATATCCATCCAGGACTTATGATCCAACTACGATCCTGTAGTTGTAGCCGGAGAAAGGCTAAACCATATCAAAGAATACATTTGTTAACTACATTATCTCATTTAGCTGTAGCTTTTATAAACAACAAAAAAGACGTATTGTGCAGTCGTTGAACCAGGGACCCTGCGGTCATGAGTCAACTGCTTTCCAGCTGAGCCACAGCACACACACTAAATCTTCCTGAAAACAATGACACATATGTATTCCTGTATTTATTCAATTATTTGTTCATGTTTTTTTTCCTACATTTATTTATGCTTGCATCCATTTATACTTATGACATGTTCCGACCTCTATAAGTGAGGGTCTGAGCTCTTTTAATTCCATCGTGTCACCGGGCCCGGGTACAGGAGGGGTAATATGGTTCTTATTATACATCCATGGGTATTATGAGCGTTGTGGTTCAACGGTTCAACCGATCTGAATCGCTTCGTGAAGCAGTCACGTGGTATCGACAGGCAGCGAGGCTTCGTTTGTCATCGATGACGTCACTGGCCCAAAACGATACAAGCCTCGATACATGCTTCACAAAAAGCTTCGGGGAATACTCGACACACGCTCCGAAGCCTCGGCGCAATATGTAGTTGAAGTGCACAAAGTAAAGCAACTGAAGAAACTCCTAATATACTCAACAAAACCGGTGTGCCTGCAGGGAGAAGCAGAGAGAGCACAGAGAGGAGCAGAGAGGCTTTAAATAGCTGCAGGGCACCAGACCCAGGTGCCCTGAGTTACTGCAATCACCAATCACCAATCAGCACAGACAGGACAGCCACCTCCTCTCTACTGATGAACCCACAGGGGCATCACACTCATTGATTTATTTTGTGAACTTCCACAGGCCCTGGGACAGAGCTCCTTCCCCTCTGGGATCTTCTCCGGCACTCACATATCTCCAGAGGCCCTGGTACAGACTCTGAAGCTAGAAGAAGCTCCACATGTACCAGAACCAGCTCCAGCACCTGCCAAGACAGGTAAGACTTACAAAAGATAAGGAATGGATAAAAGAAAAAAGAACCTTGAGTGTGACAGGTCACCGTTACTCGCCAAGCGTAGCAGGAGTGAGATAAATACATCTGATTGGTGTGATCACACCACATTCTGAAGATGTGCTTACACTCTCTGGCCACTAGATGGTGGATCAGGCTTGTGATTGTCCGCCCGCTTCATCAGCACCACCCAGACTCTAGAAAATGTTTTTTGGGAGGTATTTTCTGTGTCACTTGGATCATCTCCTTCCAGCTCTGCAACAGAAACCTGTTTGGAGATGATCCAAAGGATGCAGAGCTGAGTCTGACGGAGGGAGGGGGGGGGGAGGATGGAGGTGGGCGTAGTAGCTACGCACGCCGTGCTGCATGAAGCCTCAGCAGACAACGGGCCCGCTGCTATTTATAGAGCAGCAGGGTGTAAATTTAGCTCATGCATGAAATCACGGTTTAGCTGCATCAGTGGAAGACTGAGGCTGCGGCTGTCTCTCTTTATTGATGGGACCAGGTTCAATGCAGAGAATGGACTATTAGGAAGTCCTTGAATGCATCACACTGAACATCATTTTCCCTAGTAATGATTCTATTTGCTCACACATTATTATTAATCCATATTTCGATAACATTACAATACATTTTGCAGCCTTAGATCGTGACGTGTCGATGCCTGGACCCATTAACCAATCATTAAAACAGAGCCGACAAGCTAGCCAATCAGAGCAGACTGGGCTCTGGTTTCAGACAGAGGGTGAAAAGAGGTGCTGCAGCACAGGCAGTATGAAAGCTTTTTGAACATTAAAGCACTAATTACAAATAGAAACCTGCGTATAAAAATGTGCATACCAGTGCATTCCTTAAGCATACACTTCTCTCTGAGGTGGTGTTAGAATATAAGATCAGTGTATCTGAGCCCCCTGACAAAGCGCTCGGTGTGCAGTCTTATTAGCGGTGTCGTATCACTAACGGACCCTTGAGGGAAATCCCCCTGCTCCTCTTTATTCTGAGGTCAGCTCCCTAAACACTCTCCTCTTCCTCTACCCTGCTTCTCAGGACCATTTCCTTCTCCTCTCCTCCATGTTCATCATCATTCCACCTTTCAACACGCCCATGTTTCTCCTCATTTCATTTGAACACCCGTCTGTTGTTTTTCCCCTCTTTGGTTCAAGGCCAATTATCCCGTAATGGAAGCAATGTTTACTACAGTGCTTATTAAATGACATTATACTCATATTAAATGCACAGAATACCATATACATTTTGAGTAAGATGCTACAGAAAACCCTTCAGATGGGTTTTTATCAGTTTTTATATCTATATTGGTGTTTATGCATGGGCTCCAGCTGTCATATTGTCAGTGTCCATCAGAGCATGAGGACATATAGGCGGACAGGAGGTTTGTGATTGGCTGAAACTCAAAAGTCATGACATTCACGCCTCATTGGGAAGCACTCTGCAGTCATATGTCTCTGTCAAACACCAGGATGGATTATTACTGCTGTGTTAGAACGCCAACAGCATTTAAGTCACAGTGATATTAAATTATATATTTTTTACATCAGATTTCTTCATTTCAATTTGGATTTAATTTCATAACAGTATAGTGAGATTAAGGGCACACTGAGAATATATAAAAATGTTTATTGTCATATTAATTACCTGCACCTTACTTGCACCATTATTTTTTTAGGGCACTAATTAATAATTAGTAAAAAAATAATGGTGCAAGTAAGGTGCAGGAATTAGAATAATATAAATGTAAGATTTAAAAATAAATACTGTAATACTTATTATCACTATTTAGTTCACATATAAATATATATATATATATTATTACACCTCGCCATATTTGATTCTACTGCACAGTATTTATTATCTAATCTTTTTTATGTTCCACTATATAGATTTTCCCTGCAACTTATGGCACGTCGTATTATTATCTTTACTTTGATTTGAAATGATGTTAAGTATTCTGTGTGTTGCATTGTTGGAAGAACCTGAGACCTTAGATTGGCATTGCCAAAACGACTCTGTTGCTCTCCCATTTAACTGAGTTTACAAGTGTCTTAAGAATATATGATGATTTAAAGAAAATATATATTTTTTAAAGAAAATTTTCTCCATCATCTCTAACTGCCCCACCTTCCATCTTCACAGTGTCTAAACACACCCTCTCTGCCCACCTTAGAGCTGTCAGTCCAGTATTGTGAGCAGGGTGTATGGGCAGTACAGTGGTGGGGGGGGGTGGATGTGGGTAATCACAGCTATCCATTTCATCTAACAGCGGGAAGACGATGCTCCCAGTGGGAACGGTGTGGTGGTAAAGCACCCCCACCCACTCACGGGAGATTAGATTTCTCCACCTCGACCCACATTGTAGTCAGCACTACAGATGCCTATCTTTGCCTGTTCTCTGACTGCAAACAGCAGCAGGAACAGGGGGGGGCAGATAAAGGCCTGCCAGGGTCTCCGGAGATAGCGGGCCTGTCTGAACACACAGCTGGAGAACATTTCCTCCAAGAATTCGTACCATAACCCAAACCCTAAATGTAGCTCATCAGAGGAACGTTCTGTATTCCTTCTTTTGGTCGAGCTGATTATTGGAGACATAGGTGAGCGCCGGTCTACTTTTTCCGATAACCTTTGCCACCGTAAACTAAATCTGAAGACACATTTGATGTCAGATTGACAGATAGCACGCATTTTCTGGTAAAAACCGCATCAGAAACAGTAAAAGAAAGGAAAAAAAGGAAACTCCATATTACTACGCGGTGAAATAAGGCAGATGCTAGGTGTTGAAGTCGGTCTAAATGGGATCAATAGTCCAGCGCAGAGCATTCCCATCAGACCCTGCTGCGCTCATTGAAATGACACGCGGCCTGTGAGCTGCCTCTGACCTCTGACCCCGATAGATGGATAGGAACACGGCCAGCCAACACATCACATGACTTCGTTAACATGGCATTCAATAAAGAGGAAAAGTAAAGCAACCAAAACAGATATTTGGTAAATAAAACCCAGATATATTTGATTAAGACGGTGGTGATTTGTATTCATTCTTTCAGAGACGTATAAGACATAATCAAATATTATAGACTGCTATTGATCAATCTATACATATATCGAACTCCAGATTGTGTAAAGAGATCACTCAGAAAGGGGGGGGGGGGGGGGGGGGGGGGCGAGGAGTGGCGGCTTTATTCCTCTCACCTTTGATTTATCTTTAACTCGTAAATTAATTTAATGATCAGGTTTACCCGATGCAGTGGGGTTTGGTGTGACCTGTCGTGTGTGTGTGTGTGTGTGTGTGTGTGTGTGTGTGTGTGTGTGTGTGTGTGTGTGTGTGTGTGTGTGTGTGTGTGTGTGTGTGTGTGTGTGTGTGTGTGTGTGTGTGTGTGTGTGTGTGTGTGTGTGTGTGTGTGTGTGTGTGTGTGTGTGTGTGTGTGTGTGTGTGTGTGTGTGTGTGTGTGTGTGTGTGTGTGTGTGTGTGTCACAGGCCAAGAAGACAAGAAACTCAAGACAAAGAAGGAGAAGATGAAGGAGAGGAGGGATCGATGGATGAACAGTGAGTTTCTATCTGCACTAATATGAATACACACATATTTAACAATGATATTTTATTGTCAGATCAAGGATTTCATTGATGTCTGTTGTTGGAGCCAGTTGAAGAATGAGTGACCTGATAGATGAGTGAGTTTGGGGATTTTTGCTCCATGTTTGGGTCAGTCTGTGTTTAGATTTTAATTCCTCACCGTGCCGCCATGTCCCATAATCACCATCAGGCCTGAAACCCAACCTTGTGCTGAGCCAATCAATTCCCGAGTAACACAACACGTATCCTGTTCTGGCGTCTAATTAGGTGCTAATGGCCGCGAGGCTCGATGCCGCTGAAACCCAAGGCTGACAGTTTTCAGGAATTAGAATAAAATTAGAAAGAAATCTGACCTTTTTTCAGATAATGGAGGGCAGAGTCTGATCAGAGTGCGTTCTGAAAGACTGATAGCCGTGTTGAGGCTTAAAGCTCCTGATTGGAAACGCACCTTTTTAGTGTTTTCGAACATGTTTTTCTTATTTCCATGTATTGTGAATGGAGTTGTATTGTGTGGCTCAGCATGTCCCTCTCTGCCTCCTCTCAGAGATCAGCTCCATCAAACTGGCGAAGGAGAAGCAGGCGTTGGAGGCCCGGCGGCAGGCCACGCCGGTGGTGGGGGACATGAGGCCGCTGGCCGACGCCCTGCCGGAGCTCTTTGAACTCATCGGGCCCTCCACCGCGGCCCCCGCAGCGCGCCGCAAGAGCCGGAAAAACAAAGTGTAAGTGCCAAGGTGACCTCTCTGGAAGGCACCCAGCGTGGTGCTCCGTAATTATCACATTTCTCCTGTCCTTGAGAAGAGAACCAGTCGCAGATACTGTCAGACGTTTAATCAACACATAGGATTTAGATTAAAGGACGCAGTGAGTGTTGAGTGCCTTGATCACACATCCTCCATGTGGATGGTGCGGAGGTGCCCACACGACTCACAGGCTCTATTTAGTAGCTGCCCACTGATCCTAATTCTAGGATGGGTAAAATAGAGACTACATTTCATTGTAACCGGTGCCAATATGTGTGACGTTATATTAAACTCTTCCATTTCCATCACTAGAAGTCTTGAGTTGAAATTGTTTTCTGTGTGTTTCCTCCAGGCCGGTGAAGAGGCCTGAGCCGACAGATTTCAGCCAGATGAAACAGTCACAGAAACGCCGATTCCTGTGAGCACATTTCCTCATCAATATTATTCACATGACATGTATCGGCCTCTCCTCCACACAGCTGAACGTGTGTGTGTGTGTGTGTGTGTGTGTCTTTTTAGGGAAACGGAGAGCAGCCGGTTCGACAGCGCGGTGAAGACGCTCTCCGCCAAGATGAACCCTCTGGCGGATATCGGGGAGCAGCTGAGGAAGAGGATGAGGCAGGAGGAAGAGCAGGGGCCCAGCTAACAGCAGCTCCTCCACAGACACTCATCTACAGATGCCCCCTTTCCCTGACTGAATCATGCTCCACACAGAGGTGAAGACGAAGTGTAGTATTTGCACTTCACTCCTCCTCTTCAGTAATAAACCGTTAACTCTGAGCTTCTGTGTGTTTTCTGCTACACTTCATTTGTATTGGCTCCCAGCATCATTTACAAATGTATGCTTTGTTTCTGTCCACCCACACACTCATCACTCTGATAGTGACTATAAGATCAGAGTGACTCATCAGTAATAATAACCATAGCAACTGCACTGATCTATGTAAATGTGCAGAACATCCACGTGTTGGGAGATGTGGGGGCATCTTTAATATTTAATAAAAACACCTCTGTATTTGACTTTTCACTTAATCATACGGTGCCATGAAAAAAATTCTCATGATGTTTTTCAAATTGTGTTTGAAATTTGTAATAGCTGAATCTCAAGTACTGTGAATGAGTACACCTGAGGTACTTGAGTAAATACATGTTATGCTAATACATGCTTCTACTCCACTATCATTTGGAAGGTAATGTTGTCGTTTTTAAATTACTTACAGTTTTTTAATTACAGATTATTACCTAATACAAATCCTCCGCCAACATGGCCTCCGTTGTTTACTAGTTGTTGCAAAGTGTCTTTTAGTACTTTAAAAGGTGCTATATAGATAACATGTAATAATGATATATCATTTTGCCACTTTCTTGAGAAGTTATTTAGACCAGGAGCAGCGGACGAAGCTTTAATCTGCTTATGTTTGGCTGAAAGTCCGTAACCAGCAGAGCAGGGGAAGACAAAAGCTTCAGCAACGATCACAAAAAGATACTCCAGTATATCTGCATGTAGAAGTATGTAAGTAGTATCCTAAAAAATGTGCTTTACTGTGATTGTTATACATACTGTGTAATTAAAAGTTGAATGTTTCCCTTGAAATGTAGTAGAAGTAACCGGAGTACATGTAAATAAAGCAGGCGTTTGTAAGTCATTCAATGTGATGAGTTCCAGTTTATCTTGTCTTCTTCACCATGCATGTTAGAAAATATGTAAGTGAGCAAAGAAAAGAGACAACGATGAGACTGATCAATACTCCGCGCAGCCATTAGGACTCATTAATAATGAACGAGCACAGTGTCAAATGAAAGTAATCAGAGATTGTTTTAATAAATTCCTCTGCAGATGTTTGACCTCCCCTCTCGGACAGGTACGGACACATCCACAGGTTCTGAGTGACATGTTGTGTCATGTGGCCGTCAGACATTCCTCCTTCATAGAGAGAGACCTGACAGTGTGTGTCGTCACCGGCTGATCCTCGGAGGTGAACTGAGGTATAACACACACACATTTACTTTATACTCCTACTCATTTCAGAGGCAAATATTATACTTTTCACTGTATTTTAACAATCACTATACATTAAAAATACATATAAGCTGATATGGTATAATATAGTACTAATTTACACATTCTATTTTTAAAGTATCCAAATTGCTCGCCAACTACAACACTAAAATGCTCTTACATTTATAGAAAACTGAGAAAATAATAACATAATACTGCAATAATATCCATTCTGCATAACGAGTACTTTTGATACTCGAAGTACATTAAGCTGATAATACTTATGTACTTCATATTATTGTGAAATGGGTCATTGTGCAGAATGAGTTCTTTTACTGTTTGTACTATTTTTACTAAGTAACATTTTTGGGATCAGGACTTTTACTTGTAATGGAGTACTTTAAGACTATAGTATTTCTACTTTTACTTGAGCAAAAGATCTAGATGGAGTTTTATATCCAACACTGATTAAAGTCTTATGACAGTTGGATGACATGAGAAGAAAATGGGTGGAAATCACACGTCATCTGCACAGGTGAACCATATTACCATGTATTGATATGTAATGTCAGTATGTTGGCTTTAAATGAGTGCATGAGTTACAGGAACTGTTGTTAGAAATCATTACATCTGCAGAATGACTCAGATAAAGTTGTGGGGAAACAAAACTAATTTACAGCTAAATGTATTTTCTTATCACGTATCTTATCATATTCCTCCGCTGTTTCACAGGTACAGTTGTTAAGATGATTATTCAACATTATGTTACATTAATTAATTAGCAAGCGTAATTCATTTGAGAGCTCATATAATGCATGAATACATTACAGGTTTCTCTTATACAATCCTTTATTTTGAAGTCCCAGTGAACTAAATATGTTCCTGTTGCAGGACAACTGTACATGCTGCATATGATGAGCCACACAAGTTATTTTAATTAATTGTATCTTATTATGAGCTATGAATGGAGCGAGTAAAGAGTTGGGACCTTTGTGCGTGTTCCTTGTTGAACATTTCCACTGTTATCTGACTCCAGATCAGCTGCAGCTCACTCACATATTTCTCTACATGACTCATTAATATCTGCTGGCATCTGCCATTATTTCCACTCTGTTTTCTCAGATCAACAGATGCTTAGACAGTGAGAATCCTGCCTCTGCCTCCTGAGTGCTGCACAGGTGATGAAGCAGAGGAGACTCTGCTGCAGGGCTTCCTCGCTCCTGCTTTAAAACACAGTGTGACTTAATGAGACACCGTGCACTCAGATTAACCTGAGAGCGTCCCGGGGAAGGATTGTCTGACAGCATTATAGGTCCCACAGTTTTAGATTTTTTTTAGGCTTTAGGCCCCAACATATTAAATTAAAGAGGCGAGCACACGTTAAAAATAACCAACAAGTACACTGAAAGTCTTCATAAAATGTCACCTCTTTAATAAATCAGTGCAGAGGTGGTACAAATGTGACGTGATTGACCATTTTTCTTAGATTTCTCCCCCTCTGCAGCCACATCTCCCCCTAAGGCCTCATCCATCCATTCACCAGACTTTCTCCATTTCCCCCCCATGGACCCTCACATCTACACCTGTCCCCCCTTCCTCTGCAGCCTGCAGGTACAGAGCAATTACCTGCATCCTCATACTGCTGCAATATGACTGCAACATAAATGGTGGTGGTATTGTCATATAATATACATACTGTACATATATTTTAGGAAGAGATTATTTAAAAAAAATGTCTAATAAAGTAATTTCCTTCGTATATTTCTCATTAGAATATTAACTAGAGCTTTTTAGTAGTGCTGCTGTATAAATCCAGTGCTACACATGGCGAGTAAAAACAGTGTATCTGTCACTGTACAGGCTTTGTGTCCAATCAGTGTGTGTGCTGGTGCGTAATGCGCCCATGTGGCCTCATTTTCCTGCGCCCGCCTCTTTCCTCTGGTCCAATAGGAGCAGGCATCTTTTGGAGCACCAGGAGAGCCCCGTCCCTGGCTCATACTGCCCGGTGATTCCTCCCTCTCTCTCCCGCAGTGTGTGGAGCCCGGAGCCGCAGCATCACTGCACCAGGAGGGTACCTTCAGTCGGATACTCTGAGTGACAGCACCGGTAAACAGACCGTAAGTACCCGTTAATGGGTCAATTTCATACATAACATGTTTTACCTGCACCACTGTCTTTGCCCACTCAAAACTCCATTAGGAAATGTGTTCATTTAAATGTTCTTCATGTAAGGGATATAAGTACATGGCTCATTAAACACAACTCAGTCTTTTTTTGGACAAATTAAGCACTTTGAATAATACGGCATGTGTATGAGGTGAAAAGCAGTGGTAATGCCTGTTTAATTCCGACTTCGTTACCAAGCTAACGTTTTACTACAGCGAAGTCCGCTGCATTTCGCGGCATTAAAACAGGTGATAGCTTCAACAGGCATCTTGGTGTATTATTGGACATAATGCTTTAATATGTTTTAACCATTCGCCGAATTAAAGGGTTAGTCCAAATTAATAGCTTAGAATATACAATTGATTAATATCAAAAGCAACATGGCTGATTGTTACGTTTTCCTTTAAATTAATAGTTTCCTCGGTTAACTTTGGCGAGCTTTTCTCGACGTGAGCAAACGCGCAGCAAACACGACTCCTTAAATACCATCTCAAATCCGCAATATTAGAAGCATTTTCAATCATGTTATATTCGTGGATTAATCAATTTATTTGACAAGATTAGCAAAATCTAATATGTTTATGGCAATACACATAAAACCAAATGCCAATATCCGAGATGCGCAATCTGCATTATGTCCTGTCCTCCATGAAAACATCTACATTTAATCTGGATTGTTTTATCAGCAAAAAATACCTATACATGAAATTATATAACAAGCTTAATAGTAAAAACAATTACAATTAGGTAAATAGGGTTTTGTTGGATCAAAAGGATAGTAAAAATCGCTTTTTTATAGCAGCAGTGAGGAGTGTTCAGGAAATAGCCATGGAACATCAATGCTTCTTGAGATGCTCATACACCATAGACTAGGATAAAGGCTTTATAGATACAGTGTTCAATAACCTGGCCTGCACCAAAAGGGTGTAAATCAAGTGGTTGTGATGCTCTTGAGATTAGCACACAGAAAACAGAGGAAATAGTTTTTGGCTCACCACCTGACTCTCATGAAGCATCATATAAAAGCTTCTAATTCTTGAAATAATTTCAAATGTACCCAGATGCAACAAATATCCCGAGCTGGACTCAGAGCGTGATCAGGGTCTCGCACCTGAAATCACACCTCGGTCCCATTGGCAGTTATTTTAGCTCTGAGCCTCACTTCCTGTTTCTGCAGGAAAAGTACAGCCCTTATTTTCCCAAACATGTTTTCCACAGCGTGATCTGTGCAGTCCTTTGTTGCTGGCCCTGTCACCAGTGTGTGTTCAAATTAACCCATAAGGCATACTGAAAAATAACTTAAATAATCCAACATGCAGTCACTTTAAAATACAGCCTAATGCAAATTGTAAATTGTCACACACACTAGCATTATTTCAGCACCATGATGTTGTTAAATGTATAAATTCACAACTAAACATCCACTTCCTAGGAAACACATATTAAAATACTCGTACGAAGACAACGGAACAACACAACGCCTAATTGGGAGATTCATTTTGCGCTGCGATCACTTCTGGCCTCTGCATGGCTCGGCTCAACTTGCCTTGGGCTTTTTCTCTCTTGTCTTCCACTTAGCCTGCCTGCACAGAAATAGCAGTAAAATAGGCGTATGACAGAATGCAGTATTCAAAGTCAGTGAGTCAGTCAGTGGGCATCCTTAGCAAAAATGCTCTCATTCTGTTGTATGAGGGGTTGTCAATTTAGATTGTGCAATAAAAAATCAAATATGATATATATACATGAGAAATTCAAGTAAAAAGGCTTTATCAAGTGGCTATTTCAGGTAGATATCTAGTTATAGAATATAATAACACATGCTATATAGTCATTACATGTTAATGTTTAAAGTGTAAAGAAATACAATATCGTATATTTCAACATATTCCTCAGGTTTTTCTTGATATTTTGAATAAGTGGATACATTTGTTGCTTGATGCTTGTTGGAAATAAAGCCCCTAAGTCTTGAGAAAGTGCACATGATTTACAAAGTATTTACCAACCCCCTACTCTGGCCCACTGCAACATTTAGAGTATTGAAGTATCCAGCCAGTATAAAGGACCAGGAAGTGATATAATGTGTTTCTGTGCGTATCAGACGTACTTGGTGACAGTCTCTCTCCGACTCAGCTTCTCTCTCAGGGATTAGCGGGGCAGTCTGGGCTCTTGGAAACATTTTGAAGACTGCCGAATCCTCTTTCAGACAATTACTGCGCCTCCAGCTTAACCCCCGTCTCACATCAGTCCTCTCCTCTCACACCGCCCTGCAGGCACATCCATGTGGACGGATTGTTTCCTGAAGTCAAGCGTGGACACATTTCTTGGTATCATCACATCAATTTGTGCTCTTCTGTCCTCAGGAATATATCTGCCCGGTTTGTGCAGTGTGGATTTGACTGGATTGTTTCCAATTTTAGTAGTACAACCCAAAGACTTGGGATATGGAAGTAGATACTGTCTTAGACTTTGGATGGACGATGATATTGTAACATGGCATAAGTGTTGTCTTTCGATGGGTTTGCTTCACAAAAAGTTATCATTTCTGAACTTACCAGAAGTTTTATAGACGTTTTGTTATTTTCCCATACCCAAGTAGTCATTTATAAAGTATCTCTTTGTATGGACATCAAACCTTAGGAGGCAGAGCGTCGACTCGTCCACCAATCGGAGGGTTTAATCCGTCTAGCCCCTGCAGTCAAAATGTACACGTTTTCAGCCCCTGCAAAGACTGGAAAATGCTAAATAAATGCATACGTCGCAATATCGATATCAAGGTGTTTGATCCACATATCGTGATATTTCATTCTTTCCATATCGGCCAGATAAATGGACGGGGATTATAGTTGGTCGATGTGTGGACGACGATGGCTCCAAGTGATCTAACCAATGTCTGTTCATCCACTGGGAGACACAGTTTGTTAATGTATTGGATAGGATATCACAGCAGCGCCTAATACAAGCTGGTAAACGCAGAGAATTATTCAATACAACTCCACCTCATGACTTAATAACAAATAAGGCTTGAAAACACCGCTGCTCTTGTCCTATGTCCAACACCACTCATTTCATTTAATCGTTTATTTGGCAGGGACAATGCACAATAATGAACACTTAAAACATTCAAATATGTCAAGCGTAACAGTGCCAGATTTAGCTTTGAGCTAATTTCCATCCGCAGTCCCTCACATAAAACATTTAAGAAAATTACATTTTACAAACATAGCAAAAACAAAATACATGATATGCAAAAAGAGCAAGAGCAGCATACACAAGTATTTATGACATGGTAATACAATATAGCAGCTACGACATATAAAGTGCAAGAGAAGATACAAGAGCTACCTAAAGTGCGAGAGAAGATACCCTTGTGTTAAAGTGCATTTAGCGGTGTAACTAATGTCTTTAGTGCAAGCTCTTTTATCTTCTGACAGCCTGCTCAAAGAGTCCAACATGCTCAAACATCATTGACTGGTTTTTAGTGTGACTGGAGGAATGCTGTTTGTTTTGGTTCATCATTCATTATGACTCATTATGTTACCCATCACAAGGCAGAGTGATGGAGCCCTGCTGTATTTGAGTCAGTGCTGGTATTAGATGTGTGTGGAGCGCTGATGGCAGATGGCTTAAAATCACACCGTCAGAGGCGGGAATGCGCTGTGAGGTTTGGAAATATGTTAAGCCCGTGTGATTGGATACATCAGCAGCAGTGAGGAGATGATGGAAGCCCCTGTGGACAGTGATGGAGGAGAGGCACATGGTGTATGGCATCAATGGATGGATGACTGAATAAGGAATACATGTTGACGGTTAAGGAGGAAGGATCATATGTCTAGGGTGGGAAGAAAAAAACAACACAGGTTGGAAGTGGAAAGAAAGAAAGGAACGATTACACCACTTATTTATAATTGTACTTAATTTGTTGCCACTTACATTTCAAAATGTTACCAACGTCTTGATCCCTGTCTGTAAATCTAGCATCTCCTTTCCTCCATCTTCAGCCCGTGTGTGTCGATACTAGTTCTGCTGCCTCAGGTTCTGAGACGCTGATGTGTGTTTTCCCAGAATCCTTCCTCGAGTCAGCGCTATTTCTTCTGCCTCCGTTCTAACTTGAATTTTTAACGGGGGTCAGCGTTGTCGTGTCGAGCTGCCGTCGACATACCTTTTAATATTTCATAGGTTGCCCCCTTTGACGAAGCAGAGTGAGCGCCCGCCCTCATTAATGGCAGCCAGGCTATCAGAGGCCTGCTGAATCATTCATCGCTCCTCACCTGCTCTTCAATGCATCCACCGCGGATACACACTCACGCCACTGTGTGTGTGTGACTGCAGCATGTAATGGCAGTGTTAAAGTTTATGATCTGTGTTCAGATATTGGACGTGTTGATGATGTCATTACTCAAAGCCGGCCCAGCTCTACCTTCATCTGCACGTCTTTATTCTCTTATTATTCCCTCAATGCACAACAAGATTGAACTCTCACAATATATCTGCTGGGAATTGTCGATCAATACCAACGATTGAGCGAATCCTTGAGTCGATCTGGGACTTGTGGTTCACTCATGCTGCACGGCTTTCTAGATTCCGTCATTCATTCATCAGTTTGCTTTCACGCACATTTCCTTTGCAATAACAACCAATGTTGGACGGAGTTGGAGAAGAGAACGCTGTGCAAACACATGCAGTGGACCTGAGGCGCTAACACTAGCGTAGAAATAGCATTGCCTATCATTAAGGATTCCCGAACAACAAAATAAAATGGAACGTGCTGGAAGCTTAGGGGATTTGCTATAATAACTGCAATGAGCTGTCCCTCTATATATAGGCTTAACCTACTTCATTCCACAGTGGGATTGCCACAATAATTAGAATGTTCATATGCTTTAAAAAGACGTCTATTGTATGGATTTGAATCCCAAACAAGATACAAAACAGGCAGCGCTAGTAGGTAGCA